TATATTCCAATATCTATTCTATTCTATTTTCTCTTCTCTGTTCTCTTCTATTTTCTATTCTATTCTATTCCTTACTCTATTCTATTCTTTATTCCAATATCTATTCTATCTTCTCTTCTATGTTCTATTCTATTCTATTCTATTCTATTTTCTATTCTATTCTGTTCTATTCTATCCTATTCCTATATTCTACTCTATTCTTTTCTTTATTCCAATATCTATTCTACTCTATTTTCTCTTCTCTTCTATGTTCTCTCTTCTCTTCTCTTCTCTTCTCTTCTCTTCTTCTCTTCTCTTCTCTTCTCTTCTCTTCTCTTCTCTTCCCTTCCCTTCCCTTCCCTTCCCTTCCATTCTATTCTAATTCTATTCTAATTCTATTCTATTGTGTTGTATTCTCTATTCTATTCTATATCCTCTCTTATCCTGTACCACGTCTCTGAGCATCTTTAGGGCCTCCAACTACACGACTTATGGTAGATTCTTGGAAAGGCTTCAACCTTCCATCACAAAAGCACCTGGGACCTCGCAGCCCTGGGACTGTTCAAACTCTGGATAATGAAGTCTGATGAAAGATCTAACCGACAGCCTCACCAAAACTTTCCCCCCCCCCAAATTAAGAGGAAGAAGTAATGAGTCGAAAGCGCTCTTAATTAATCTCCAGGTGCTCAGGTTGTGCTGGAGTTGTTTTGTGTGCCTGAGCAGAAGGAGGCTTTCCGTAGGTAATCCTAGAGCTTAGGACCGTAATGGGGCCCAGGATTTATTTATTTTTTCTTTTTGCCACCGCTGTTAAGCGAATTGCTGCAGTTGTTAAGTGAATCACGCTGTTGTTAAGTGAATCTGGGTTCCCCCCTTGATTTTGCTGGCTGGGAAGGTGGCCAAGTGGCCATGACGAACATTATAAACACAGGCGGGGATGTACAGGGTCCAAAATGTTGATCATGTGACCCTTGGGAACGCTGCAATGGTTGTTAAGTGCGAAAATCGGCCACAAGTCCTTTTTTCCAGTGCCGTTGCAACTTGGGAAGTCATTAAACAAGTCAAATCGGGAGATTCAGGCTGTTCCAAGGAGTATAAAGTATAAATAATCTGAGGAGGAGGAAGAGGAGCAGCTGACTGAGAGCGGGTGTGTGGCTCCGTTGACACTGGAGGAAACCGGGGAAGGGCAAAGTCCGGCTGGGCAGAGCAGGGGAGAGGTAGAACAAGGGAGACGGAGTTCAGAGGAAGGCCCAGGCCCACCCTCTCTTCATCCTAGGGCACGCAGGCAGGAACGGAGAAGGGAGCAACGTGGTTGCATGGCTTATGGGGGAGGAAAGGGCCCTGATTCCCTTCATTAGCCACAGCTTGGGAAGGGAGTTTAAAGCAAGCTGAGTGCGAGAGCTGTTGGGAACAAACGTGAGTTCATTTTGTGTTGACTTTGCTTATCTGTGTTCCTGGAGTTCTCCCAACCGTGTTGAATTATGGCTCTTCCTTCACGTCTGGAATTCCTTCTCTTGCCCTGCTGGATTAATTATCTCATTTTGCCTTGATTGGAGTTATAGTTACAGTTTTTGTTGACCATGTTTTGGACTTGATTCTCTGCAGCCCAAGGCTGTTCCTGGGAGAGTTTTTCTCCAGCCCAGAAGGTAACCAGGACATTGGGGGCAAAGTTTGGAGCTAATAAAGGGACTCCTACTGATTATCTGTGTTGCCGTTGTGCCATGCCCCTTTGGGTCCTCACGTTGTGGTTAAGTGAGGTTTACCCCATTTTATGACTGTTCTTGCCAAAATTGTTAAACGAATCACTGCGGGGTGTGTGTGTGTGTGTGTGTGTGTGTTAAGTTTGTCACACAGTTGCTAGGTGAATCTGACTTCACTTGGCTTGTCAGAAGGTCGCAAAAGGGGATCATTTGACCTTGAGACTCTGCAACCGCCATAAACAGGAGTCAGTTGCCAAGTGTCTGAATGTTGATCGTGTGACCAGGGGGAAATCTGCAACGGTTGTGTGAAAAAGGGTCACAAAGTCATTTTTTTTCAGGGCCACGGTAACTTTGAACCGTCACTAAACGAACCGTTGTTAAGTCAAGGACTACCTATACAAGAATCTGAGCTATTAATGGTCAAGGGAAATGAGCGGGAGATAAGAAAGAGCACTCAAGTTGAACTGGACTTAGATCTCTTGTGGGGCGCAAAGGGACTCATGACTTAGGACGCGTTTGACCCCCTCCCTCGGGATCAGCCTACAAGGAATGGTTGGTTTTATGTTGAGAACTTGTTGTACCCATGCAAAGAAGGCCACTCACTGCATGTTGCCTCCCCACCAGCCCTACAACACTCTGTGAACTGCCTTCTCTATTGCACAGTGATAAATCCGGTCAGTTTCCCTGCTTTCTAACCATTTCCACCATGCAACTATCTCTCTCTCTCTCTCTCCTATCTCTCCTGTCTCTCCCTCTCTCTGTCTATCGTCTGTCTATCTACACTACAATATCTATTCTCCCTTCTGTCTCTCCCTCATCTGTCTCTCTATTTACCTACTTTCTAACTACCTACCGTCTATCCTGTCTCTCCCTCTTGCCCTCTATCTATCTATCTATCTATCTATCTATCTATCTATCTATCTATCTATCTTTCCATCCATTCATTCATCCATCTATATCTAATCTATCTGTCTGAATCTATTTCTTTATCCATCTATTTTTCTTTGTCTCTCTCCATCTCTATCGCTCTTTATCTCTATCTATCTCTTTCCTTCTCTCTCTCCATTTATCGTCTGTCTATCCTGTCTCTCTCCCCCCACTTTATCTATCTCTCTGTCTGCTCCTCTCTCTCTACCTGCCTACCTACCTATCGTGTCTTATCTATTGTGTCTGCCTCTAGCTAATCTCTCTCTCTCTCTCTCCTGTCTGTCTCCATCTATTTATCTATCTTTCCAACTTTTTATCTACCTACCTATCTGTATCTCTCTATCTCTTTATCTCTCTGTGATCGATCCGGTCAGTTTCCCTGCGTTCTTACCATTTCCACCGCGCAACTGTAGATGAGCTTTTCGGCCGTGACGCTGTTAATTTCATCGACGAAGCGCTGCTTATCTGAGAAAAACTGGTTCAGCTTTTCGGTCAGCTTCTTGCACATGGCGATGCAGAATTTGTACCTCTCGTTCAGGTTTTTGACAACTGCAAAGGAGGAACAGGAAACAGGAAAAAAAATGCAGCCAATTAGCAAAAAAATAATAATAATAATTCCCATTTGGCTCTTTGGCTGTTACGACAGAATGAGAGAGGGTATTATGCATAATTTTGTATGTTTTCATTTATTTGTTTAGTCATGTTCATGTATAGTGGAGGAGGTGGAGCTCTTGCCTCACAATTGGTTGTGACTTTGATCCTAGGTAGAGGCAGATATATTTCTCTCTCTGGGCACAACGAGAATATATCTGCTGAACAAAACTCCTCATTGGTGACAGGAAGGGCATCCGGCCAGTAAACACTCAGCTCCATTCGGTTGCCCTGGGACTGATTTTTTTTTTTTTACTGCCTTTCTGGGGGGGCATGTGACCTTTCTTGAAATCTGGGTGATTTCCTTATCTTGTGAGGTGAGAGAGAAATGGATCCAAGGATTTCTTCTCCTGGGTGTGCTTTTTTCTGGAGAGCTTAAATGACCTCTCTGCTAAAGGGTTTCACTTTATGAGCAAGAGTTGGCTGCTTGATAGTTATCACTGCATTTTAAATATTTTCATTCCTCAAGGTGCTCTGGCACCCTGCCTGATTTGTAACTCCGGCTTGCAGGTATGTTTTAATCTAATGACTGGTATGTAGGGCGGCTTTTTGCAAGCAAAGAAGCTTTTTGTATTTTCGTACAGGTAATCCTTGACTTACAACAACAGTTCATTTAGTGACCATTCAAAGTTACAACGGCACTGAAAAAAGTGACTTATGAGCCCTTTTCACACTTATGACCATTGCAGCATCCCCACTGTCACGAGAGGTCAGGCGAGGAGAAGCACCCCTTGACATGAGCGATGCTGAGTTGGCCACATCCAGCCCTCCCCGTAGTTCCCCGTAGCTGCCCGGGCCTCGCCCTGCCCTCTCCACGGCTCCCCAGGCCTTGGAAACTGGCAAAAAAAACACTTACTAAGCAACTGGCCATTAAGCGAGGACCTGGTCATTAAGCGAGGACCACTTGCATTTGGTTTGCCAGTCACATGGCCACCTGTCCATGCCCACCCCAGTCACATAACCACCTAGCCACTCCCAGTCAGCGTGCCACTCCTACCAAAATAGGGTCTCCTGCTTGGGCAGCGGGAAGGGGGAGGGGTTGGACTAGATGACCCACAAGGTCCCTCCCAACTCTGATTATGTTAAACCCCAGTCACATGACCACCAAGCCACACCCACAAACTAGGCCATGCCCACAGAACCGGCTGTTTTGCAGGTAAGGGGGTGGCGGGGTTGGGTGGGTGGGGATTGCGCGGGCGTGCGCAGACCTCCAGAGTCCTTTCCAGCTCCATTCTGAGGGATTGACTGGCGATGCACATTTCGCACCAACTCCCGAGATTGGAAAACCCCCCAATTTTTATTCCTAAGGGGAAAAGGCCGTCGGGGGCTCACCTTGTTTCACCGCAGTCGAGAGATTCAGCTTGGCCGATTTGATCTGTGCTTTGGCCAGGTGTAAGGATGAAGCCAGGAGCTGGGCCGCCTTCATGTACAGGACCAGCTGTTCCACTTGCCTGGAGAGCAGGAAACAAAAGAGGAAACAACGCCGATCATTCCTTGGCTACGAACTCAGGGTTCTCAACGAGGGGGTTCCTCCCCTGGCTCCCCCACTTCCTGTTGCAACTTTGGAGGTCTGAACGTCTGTGGAGATTCTCGGGTCATCCAGGCCGTGGTTGTCCCAAAAGTGCTTTTTCCAAAGGAGGCAACTCCACTTTCTTGCCTTTTTTATTTTTATTTTTAAAAAAGACATTTCGCTTCTCACCCAAGAAGCTTCTTCCGCTCTAACCGGTGGGGAATGGGAGGATTTATATTCCTTGCTGACAGCTGGTCATTTGTATTCTTTTTAGAGGGTCGTTGAGGCCACTTGGACGTTTGTCTTCGTCCTCAGGATCATTTCAGTGGTACAAATGGGTAGTAGAGTTTTCTTGGAACTGTTGTAGAAGGCTCCACGCCCATTTGCACCACTCAGGTGACCCCCGGGGACATAGACAAACCTCCAAGTGGCCTCAACGACTCTTTAAAAGGATGCAAAGGACCAGCAGTCTCCTGGGAGTATAAATCCTTCCATTTCCCGCTATCTATTCACAGCTGAAGAAGCTTCTTGGATGAGAAGTGAAACGTCTTCCGAGAAAAACAAGGAACTCCAGTCGCCTCTTGAAAAAAGCACCTTTGGGATGTCAGCCGTTCTAAGGAAAGCCGCCTTTTGCGGTTGACCGGTGGAATTTTGTCAACACCAATGGTGTCCCCAGTGGTGTTCCAGAGGTTTTGCGATCGCACCCAAGATGCCTATGGACCGTTGGTATTATTTTTGCTTTCTTTTGCCACAGTCCTCCTATTTCTATTTTCTGGTCTTTGCATTTTGCATCATTATTGATTATTATCAAACTTATTTATCTTGAGGCTTGAGGAGACTTTTAATTTTGTTGCTCATAGCTTATGATTTGATTACTTATCGTACCCTGTGACTATTATTTGTCATTTGGAAACTAAAAGTTTCTTTGACTTCCCACATTATTAAGTGTTGTACCTGATGATTCTTGACTCTTGACGAATGTCTCTTTTCTTTTTATGTACCCTGAGAGCATTTGCACCAAGACAAATTCCTTGTGTGTCTAATCACTTGCCCAATAAAGAATTCTATTCTATCTTATGATTTATATGAACTGTTTTATTTAATATCCTAGTATGATTGATGTTGCTTATTTAGTATCCTATGACTGTCACAGAGTGCTGTATTTAAATGATTTATGATGAATGTATTTTATGATTATGAACATGATTTATCACTTGCTGCTTGTATGCACACCGAGAGTTTTATGCACTGGAGATAAATTCCTTGTGTGTGTCCAATCACATTTGGCCAATAAAGAATTCTGTTCTATTCTATCCTTAATTCTAATTCTATTCCTAATTCTATTCTAGTTCTATTTTATTCCATTCTATTCCTATTCCATATATTCTATTCCATTCAATCCTTAATTCTAATTCTATTCAATTCCTGTTCTATTCTATTTTGTTCTGTTCTATTCTGTTCTATTCCAGTTCTTTTTTTTCTGTTCTCTTCTATCCTTAATTCTAATTCTATTCGTAATTCTGATTCTGATTCTAATTCTATTCCTAATTCTAATTCATTCCATTCCATTCCTGTCTATTCTTGTTCTTATTACATTCTATGTCGTTCTGTTCTATTCCCGTTCTCTTCTCTTCTGTTCTCTTCTATCCTCAATTGTAATTCTATTCTATTCTTGTTCCATTCTATTCCATTCCATCTCATCCTTAATTCTAATTCTATCTCTAATTCTGATTCTGATTTTATTCCTATTCCTAATTCATTTCATTCCATTCCTCTTCTATTCTATCCCTGTCCTATTGCATTTTAGTTCGTTCTCTTCTACGATGTTCTTGTTCTGTCCGCATCCCCACTCCCTTAAGGATAAAAGCCAGGCTGCTCCTGATTATTATGGGTTGCAACCTGCCACGTGAGCCTGTTATCAACTCAACGTATCCGCACCTTTCCTCTACAAAGGCATGAAATCGTGTGAGGAGTTCCTGTTATTTATTTATACATTTTTACTGGCCACCTATCTTGCCTCAGGGTAACTCCGGACAGCTTACAATCATAAAAAAATAAAAAACTACCCCCAAATTATTATTTTTTTTAAAAAACACCATAAATAAAATCTGGGATGTTTGAAACGGTTTTGGGACCATGAACCGTCCTGGGCAGGAGGAGATTTCTACGGAAGAAAGCTAGCAGCTCGAGGAATCACTCACCCCCAGTCTTTGCTTAGCTGGCTGATTTGATCCACCACAACGCTCTCCTGGATCTGGTAGAGGGAGACGGCGGAGTTGCAGAGCTCCGGGTTGCCGCTCCGGACGGCTGTCAGGTCCAGCACGCACTCCGTGAACGCCAGCATCAAGTTCAAGTGGCGCAGGGTGTCCGTGTGCTCCCTCTGGAGAGGAGCAAGCAAAAAAAAGGACCAGCTTAAAAAAGGGCGCCTCTGTGGGGCAGTGGTTAGAGTGCAGTACTGCAGGCTACTTCTGCTGACTGCCGGCTGCCTGCAATTTTGGCAGTTCACATCCCACCAGGCTCAAGGTGGACTCAGCCGTCCGTCCTTCTGAGGGGGGTCAAATGAGGACCCAGATTGTTGGGGGCAAGTGGCAGACCCTGTAAACTGCTTAGAGAGGGCTGTAAAGCACTATAAAGCGGTATATAAGTCTAAGTGCTATTGCTATGACTATTTAATCTCCACCTGGGCTCTGAGGCCATCACAAGGACACAACCTTTGCGTGTGTCTAATCCCATTGGGCCAAATAAAGTATTCTATTTCTATTTTATTCATTCCTGTTCTGTTGTTTTCTGTTCTATTCTATTGTTGTGGCCTGTCAACCGCTGGCCTCTCCAGCAGCTGAATTAGAGGCGGCGGCAGTGTGGGAGTCAGGATCAGGCCAGCCTGGGAACTCCAAGGGGGAAGAGGAAGCGGAGCTGGCAGAGAGACAGTGGCGGAGCCTGGGCCATCCGTCAGCCCTCAGATGGAGAGTCAACAGCCCCCAGGTCTGGAGGTGGCTGATGAGGAACAGCTATGTCCAGTCCCTGACGCACAGAAAACAGAGGAGAGGAGAGCAGTGGAAATCTATGGGCCGGTCCTTGGGACGGAAGAGCTACCGCTGCTAGCGAAGCCCCTATCCAAGCTCTGGGGATAAAAGGCTGGGGACGGAGATGAATCGATGTGAGACAACTATACATCTCTTTGCAGACGGACTGGTTAGCCTGCGGTGAGAGAGAAACGTTTTGCCGGGGCTGCCGGCGCTGCTAATAAAGGAATCTTTTGAGTTAACTTCAGAGGGTTTGTCGTGTTTGGGGAGGTGGGTCAGAACAGGAGTCAACTGTGGTCGTAAAACCAGGACTACCTCTATCTGCATAGCCTCCCGTGAATCAAAGGGACTTTCTACGCTTGCGAAGTTGGGTGATTAATGTTCCGGACAGGCATAGTAGGGCTAAGTGCAAAAGAGTATGCCCCCTGCCACATAGCCTTCCCACACCCCAGGTTAATGTTGCTATAAATATTAGTCCTGGCAAAGACTGTAAAATTCCTTGGGGCTGGGTAAAGATTTACTTAGCGATTTGATTTCCGTAGCCACCCATCTCAACAAGGGTCTCTTGGCAGCATGCATCGTAAAACACAGGAACAAATGAAAAACAATTAAAATGCCAAATATTTATACATAGCACCAAGGAGAATTGTAACAAGGACGCTCAGGCAGCCTTTTAAGATAACTGTATTTTAAAATCTTTGACGTAGGCGGTTTTGTTTTCCCCTTACAGGTGGACCTCAACCTATTACCACAACCGAGCCCAACATTGCTGTTGCGAAGCGAAACACTGGTTAAGGGGAGTTTGGCTCCGCTGTACGACCTTTCTTGCCGCCGTTTTTAAGCGAATCACCGCAGTTAGTAACATAGTTGTTAAGTGAATCTGGATTCCCCCATTGGCTTTGCTTGTCAGAAGATCCCAAAAGGGGATCACACACCAACCGTCTTAAATATGAGTCAGTTGCCAAGTGTCTGAATTTTCGGATCGCAGGTGTGAGAAATGGCCGTCAGTCACTTTTTTTTGGTTAACTTCAAATGGCCACTAAACGAATGTGTCAACTCATAAAATATTTCTATGGTCTTTTTAGAGTTGCCAACAGAAAGGGAGGGGGGAGCAGTGTGGCAGCTTGGAAATCGAAAGTGCATTCCATAAATGTTTTTTCAAAGATAGTAACCAGGTGACTGAAGTTTCTGCCGCGCAAAATTCTAACTGGAGAGCCTGATTGATGACTCTGGGCTATGGATGTGTCCCATTGGAGAATATGAATTACGACACACCCGGGGGGTGGGGTGGGGGAAAAACCAGGGTCAAGGGTGACAATGAATGATGTGCCTCAGAGTCGGCTACACCCAGGCAGTGCCGGACATGTTAACTCCCAATAAATCATCTTTAAATTTTGGAAGTTCGGCTCGAGAGTTATGACTTAAACGGGGGACACTGCCGGAGCCCTGACAGAATGGTTGTAAGCTGAGGACTTCCCGGTACCCCATTAACCCTCCATTGCAATGTCTCTGCCAACCTCCATACCTCCATCAAAGTTTCTTCAGGCAGTTCTGGAGCTTCAAAGCTGGGAGGTGAGGCGCCGTAAGGCATGTACTTCAAACAAGGGGCTGCCTCGGCTCCAGGAGGGGAGGAACCCATATAAATCCCGGGTGGGGAGCCCATCAGGATCCGGCCACTGGTAGAACACAGGGAGCCTCCGGAGCTGTTAGAGCCAACTAAAAGGCAGGAATAATAATAATAATAATAAAAAAGACACATCACAACACTGTGATGACCCAAAGGGGCGTGGCACAATGGCAACACAGTCAGATAATCAATTGGAGTCCCTTTATTAGCTCCAACTTTGCCCCCAATGTCCTGGTTACCTTCTGGGCTGGAGAAAAACTCTCCCAGGAGCAGAGAATCAAGTCCAAAACGTGGTCAACAAAAAGTATAAGTCCAATCAAGGCAAAAGGAGCGGGAGAAGGAATTCCAGATGGGAAAGAACGGGAGTAATTCAACACCGCTGGGAGGGCGCCAGGAACGCAGAGAAGCAAAGTCAACACAAGATAAATTCACGTTTGTTCCCGGCAGCTTCCGCACTCATCATGCATCTCTTTTCAACTCCCTTCCCAGCTGTGGCTAATGAAGGGAATCAGGGCCCTTTCCTCCCCCGTAAGCCACGCAACCCACGTTGCTCCCTTCTCCGTTCCTCCCTGCGTGCCCCAGGATGAAGAGTGGGGGGTGGGCCTGGGTCTTCCTCTGAACTCCCTCTCCCTTCTACCTCTCCCCTGCTCTGCCCAGCCGGACTTTGCCCTTCCCCAGTTTCCTCCACAGCCGACGGAAGCCACACTCCCGCTCTCCGTCAGCTGTTTTGCCTTCCCCCTCGGATTCAGACTCCGTCAGGGACATGACAAACACACTCAAAAGGCTGTGTAAGCTTATAAAGAGCCTTCCCAGAGAAAAGAATATTTGCAGATAAGGTTTGAATTGAATTGTGTGGGTCCTGGCTGCCATCTTGAGTTTGGTGGTTTTCTTGTAGACGTTCCACGACCCAACTAGGTAACAGTGGGGACAATTAACCAATGGAACAGCTTGCCACCAGAAATCGTGGGTGCACCATCACGGACAGCCATTTGTCTAAAACGGTAAAGGGTCTCCTGATTGAGCAGGGAGTTGGACTAGATGACCTCTAAGGTCCCTTCCAACCCTATTCTGATTCATTTCTTTTATCCCTCTTTCAAAACACTTTTCCTTTCTGTCTAGGGGATGGGCTTGGCTGTCTTCAAAAGACCTTTGTCTTTCAGATGCAGGTGGATCTCTGGATTTTGCCCTGATGTGTTTGTTCTCCTGCATGGTTTTCAAGGAAAAAAAACCCAATTGCCAGTTTCCTAGTATAATTTGATTGCTTACTGTACCCTAGGACTATTATTAAGTGTGGTACCTGATGATTCTGGACTCTTGACGAATATATTTCTTTTTCTTTTATGTACACTGAGAGCATCTGCACCAAGACAAATTCCTTGTGTGTCCAACCACACTTGGCCAATAAAGAATTCAATTCAATTCAATTCTATTCTATTCTATTCTAATTTTCTATTCTATATTCTATTCCATTCCATTCTTCATTCCAGCACCTATTCCATTCTATTCATTTCTCTATTCTATTCTATTCTATTCTATTCTATTCTATTCTATTCTATTCTAATTCTATTCTATTCCATTCTTCATTCCAGTATCTATTCCATTCCATTCTATTCATTTCTCTATTCTATTCTATTCTATTCTGTTCTGTTCTATATTCTATCCTGTTCTATTCTATTCTATATTTTATTCTGTTCTATTCTATATTCTATTCTATATTCTATTCTATTCTATTCTATTCTATTCTATTCTATTCTATTCTA